GGGGGGGGGGGAGGCAAAATGAGAATAACAGATAAATTAAAGAAATTAAAATCATGAACCTCGGTGGGTTTTCTGATCTCACCTACATGGTCTCTTACTGGGTGAGTGGCTATGGTATTCTACTGATCTTGTTGTATTGTGCGCATAAATAAATAAAATCAAAGTACTGGACGTTAACTGGCCAAGGCATTAGGTAGACTTACATTTGATAAGATTCAACATAAAAGTTGATCAAACATTAAAAAAAGAAGTTAGGTGCAATGATGAATCAATAACTCATCGATTATCACAATTAAAAAAATTAAAATGATATTTTAAAAAGTCAATAAATATTTTTGATCATCTGTTCATCATTTGTTAGATTTAAAGTTTTCCAAATGCTCAGAATTTCAGGTCCTCAACAGTCAGTCAATTTTCCATGAAAGCAAACTGACTAGATTTGTCTTTTTTCAAAATAAGACATTTGCGAACATCCGTTTTTACTTTGGAAAACAACGACCCAAATTTTGGCCGTTTTTCTGACATGGTACGGACCAACCCGGGACCTGAATTATAATTTATATTTGTGCATTTTCTGCACCGTCATGGTTTTTTTTCCCCCCTCTGTCTTCATCCTCTGCTACTTCATTTTTAGTTCGCAACATACAGCCGGTCAAGGAATAAATTTAACAAAGTCAAGGTCACTCCATGTTTGTACCACCCAAGTGTCTTACCATCACGGCATGGGGGAAGTAGCCGTTGGTCTGACTCTGCAGCCCCACGGTGTTGAGCTCGGCAGCCACGTAGCGCTCCGGAGTGGGCTTGTCCAAAGTGGGCTTCCTGATGCGGGTCATCTTGGTGGCCACGAAGAAAGGCAGCACACTCTGCGGGAGGACGCACATACGGAAAGCCAGAGTCAAACGGACGCTTCCGAAAAGCTCAATATCGAACAAATATGGACGATTTGGTGTGCATCTTTCCTGTCATTGTCATTTTTGCGTGCAGTAGTCTACTAGTCTTGAACTGAAAAAGCGTTGAAAACAGTTCCAGATGTAAGGAATAGGCTCATTGAAGATGAAAGATTACTCTTTCTAATGTTCGGTCCACTGGCGGGGCTAATATGTTGGGCAAAAATTGCTTTGGATGTATTCAAAATGTACTTGCGGAGGTCAAAGTGTAGTACCGTCTATGAACAGCAGGTGTCATAAGAGTAACAGGAGCAGGGGCTCAAAACAACGTTCGTCAGAAAAGTTTAAGCAACGACAACAACAAAGAACAACTGATGGTCCATTTTAATCACGAAGTTTGAACAAATATTCCCAGTAGATTGATGCAGATGACAATTTTACCAGCTTTGCTTTATTTTATATATTTTACTTCCCTGCTCTTTTTTTTTTCTTGACCATCTTTGTTCCGCTTCATTTCGTTTTTCCGCCTTACTTTCTTTAATTTTACTTCATCTGACGACTTCATTTACTGAACCTACTTGTATTTCACCTCGTTGTACTGCCTGACTTTGTTTTATTTTTTTTGTATTTCACCGCCTTGTTGACGTTTTTTTTTAAACTTCGTTTTACTGCCGGTTTTTATTTGAGAGCATTTTTCGACTACATTTTACTGCTTTTATTTTATGTCCCTTCACTTGACAATCGTTGCTTTGGTTTACTCTATTGTAGTTCCTTACTATGTTTTATTTCTCTGTATTTTACAGCGTTGCCTTGTTTTATTAAATATATTTTACAGTTCCGTTTTCTGCTCTGCATGTTGAATTCTTATGTATTGTATGTTTTATTTTACCCGTATTTAATACCTGACCTTATTTTATTTCGATGTGGTTTACTGCCTTATTTCGTTTTAATGTACTTCATTGCATTTGGTTTATTGAACCACTTCTATTTTACTTTAATCAACAACTTCGTCTTCGTTGAATTAATCTTATATCACCTTTTTTTTTCTACAGCTCGTTTTATTTTAATATGTTTGTTTTATTTTACCACCTCGTTTTTATTTTAATTCACGACCTTATGTTAAATAGGATTCTATATGAGCCACAGACAATACCACGGGTGGTAGCCTTACCTGGATGATGATGCCCTGACGCCTGTACTCCTCCTGGAGGCCACGGGAGAAGAAATCCACAAAGGCCTGAAATGGGCGTGGGGAAGAAAGATTCGGATGAGAAATAGTCACAATTTCCGCTTTGAAGGAGTGAAATGAGGACGGCACACGAACCTTGGTGGCAGAGTAGATGGTGAGCAGAGGGACGGGGTACATGCCACTGGCCGAGGAGATGTTGAGGATCACACCTTTGGATCTGAAACAACATTGAGAGAATTTACACAACAAAAACAAATTGAAATTGGGTCTCGCTGGGCCAACTGTTTGTGCAAGCAGCGGTGTGCACTCCGACAAGAGCAAACTCAAAAGACAGGTCACATCCAGCTAACTGTTGTTGTAGTATTACGAGGCAATTGTTTTGAAAATTAATCAAGAATACTTTATAGAAAGAAAGAAAGAAAAAACCCATCAAACTTGTCATGTGGAAACATGTTTTCAATTCATTAAAAGACAACAAAAAAACACTTGCACTTATTTGTGTAAAAATTAATTTGACCATGACATTTAAATATTATTTGATGTTAAGTGACAAACATTCAAATTTACATCAAATTTTAAAAAAATTAAAAAGCTGACTCCTGTGAAATATTGTGGTAAATTTAAAAGCAAAATATTTTTATAATTAAAATTTTAAATGATACAAAGTGTACTTGGCACACATGGTTTGTTAAAATAGTTAAAAAATAAAAGGTTTAAAATCATATTTCTTTTATATATTATATACATACTCTCACACTCACACACACACTCACACACCTTTTTTATTTTAGAAAATGCATTCACAGGAAGCAGTTTCAAGTGTTTAAACCTCTTCTATGCATCTATTTTTGGATCAAATCGCATCAACAATTTCCCAGGGAACCCATCGTCTGCCCTCTCTCTCTCACACACACACACACACACACACACACACACACACACACACACACACACACACCGTGGCAGTGTGCGTTGCCATGGCAGCCTGTTGCTGCAGTGATATAGTTCAGAGAGAGAGAGAGAGAGAGAGAGAGAGAGAGAGAGAGAGAGAGAGAGAGAGAGGCTCTGCTTCACACAGCTCCAAAATGTGCTGTGACTTCATTGGCCGTGCCAGTCACGTGGCCACATGAGGGGCCAATCAGGGCAGGGAGGGCACTTTGTGTGAATTGAAAGCTTGTCAGCATTTGTGAACAAAAGGAAGGAAAGGAAGAGGAAGCAGCCATGGTGGGGAAAGACTCGCTGATCCTTTACATTTAAAAGCTCGTTTTTATAATAACAATTAATAACAATTTGACATCAATGTGCAATTACAAAAAAACAAATAAATAAAAAGCGGGTGGGGGGGGGGGGTTTTTTTGGACTCACCTGTCAGCCATTCTGGGCAGCACCAGGCGGGTCATCTGGTGGACAACAGACAGAAGTTTGTGTTTAAAAGCTCATAAAAAAAAAAAAAAACACATGGAGGATCCTGACAGAGTGAAATAATTAGAACATAGAAGCAAGGTAGAGAGTTGAGAAAAGGAGGGAGAGATGCGTGGGTGGGTGGGTGGCGGGTGCAGACGGCGTTGGTGTAGTCCACCGTTGCTTTGGGAACGAGCGAGACACTGCAGGTACCACCAAAGAAGAAGAAGCAGCAGCAGCACAATGGCATTTATATGGAGGCTGAAGGCTCAAATGGATCAAGATTACCTGGCACACTGAAGTCATGTTGACGTTAATCATGTTGGTGATGAACTGAAACACACATTGGGGATATACCATTAAAAATTCGCCTGATCATGACAAAAACATTTTAATACAACAACCACCCCCACCCTCCGCCCAAAATAAATAAATCATACATACATTGTCCAGATCCGGAATATGGAGGTAGTACTCAGGGTATGGATAGGACACGCCAACATTATTGACTGTTAAACACGAACAATAAAAAACACACAAGTTCATGACATTCTAAATCATGTCCACAAGGGGGAGGTACAAGCAAAGGAAAGAAACTATTCAGCCAGCCACACCTTTTAACCAGTAAGCAACTGCATATAAAACAAGGACCAAGCGTTTTTTTTTTATGTTCTTTTCACATTAAGTACATGTGAAAATAAATCTGACATATTTATACCAAAAAAAAAAAAAAAAAAGTGTTTGATTCACAGTGATGTAATGCACACTTTATATTGCTCAATGACTCTCCGTACCTTTATGTATGGGACCGAAATGTACATTTTGTTATAGTGCCTTTTTGTTTATTTTTGGATTTAATGCTAGAGTGACTATCTAGCAGAGACTTGTGTATTTACGGCTGTGGATCAAATAAATAGGTACAAAAAAAAATAAATAAATGGGGTTTTGGGGGTTTTTTCTTAACTTTTTATTACTTGTGCAAAAATGTCCAATATTAAAATTTACAAAAAAATACATAAATGGGGTTTGTGGGTTTTTTTCTTAACTTTTTATTACTTGTGCAAAAATGTCCAATATTAAAATTTACAAAAAAATACATAAATGGGGTTTGTGGGTTTTTTTTAACTCGTGTAATAATATTTTTAAATTGTAAATACAAATGTATGCTTCATTATCATATATTTTATTATATAGAAAGTATAAATACTTTATTTGTATTTAAAGTAACATATCTTACGATGAAGGTTCCCTACATTAATGACGAATCCAACACTGGTCTAAAATGAAAACATGGTCACTTTAAAAATCAATTCCAGCAAATATGTAAGTTGTTTACCAAGGACACCGATCTCCAGGCCCGACAGTCCCGCCTCGATGGATGGGTAAATGTTGGTCTTGCCGAAATCCACCGCAATGGTCTTTGTCTCCACTCCAAACTGGTCCTCTGTGGCACAAAGTATAAAAAAAAAAAAAATGTTGTTTTTCTGTATTTATTTATAACATTTCGTGGGCGGAAAGCAATCACTGAGCAGTAAATCAAAAATAGAATTCTAAGCATTGGGATTCTTGTGAGAATCCTAATGCAGTGTCAAAATTAAACAGCAGAGGGCACTGCAGACCAAACAAAGTAGACTACTTGTCATTGCATGCCCAAAGATTCTTTAAAAGCAGTTGATGGTAGTGCAGAACAATGCCTGAAGAAACGTCCGAAAAGAATGACAATATGACAGTCTGACCAGATTATTTCCAATCCAGACACGATGGTGTTGGTCAAACTTGCACCCTTACCAAGTGACCTGGCCACGTCATCCAGCTTGTGTTGGGAGCGGCTGATCAACACAATGGCAAACCCTCGACGAGCAAGCTGGAGGGAAAAGACGTCAGGTTACGGCTCACAAATAATGTAAAAACTACAATGTTGCCCCCCCGCCCAACCCATTCTATTTGGAAATATCAAGATACATATCAAATCATCTTTGTCGAAGACATATATGCTTGAAGGAAACGCCACACTTACAGTACTGATGGGTTCATTCAAATGTATGTAAAATGACAAGTTAAAAAAAAAATCCATTGCATCATACCCTCTCGAACTGAGCCGGACCATATCGAATGAAAATCCCACCCAGTCGAACTGAATCGAATCGTTCCACTTTCAAATCGAACCGTCCGAGCACCGTTTCGCACCACCCATATCGAAACGTCTTTTGTGGAAAGATACAAATCCCCAGCATCATCCGAACACAATCCAAAAATGCAAATGTAGCATCTGTGCATATGTCTTTTAGGGGCGGGACCTGGCATGTGATATCGGTAAACCTGCGTGTGAGTGACTGGAAGCGAGCTGTGGCCGACAGCAGCGAGTGAGCTCAATGTCGCTACGCGTCTTACCATTTCTCAGCATTCAACAATCAGCTGAAAAGTACATATGCGAGTGGCTCACCTTTCCCCACATGCGAGGGCATTACATAAAATATAGTGTAAAAACCCAGAAAAACGTGCGTTTAAAAAAAAAAGACTCCCGTTTAATCAACAGTAGCACCAAAATACATGGCAAGCATCATACTAAAAGTCAATGTACATGTGTATTTTCCACAATAAAAGCAGCGTGAGCGTAGAGCGGCTGTGGCCTTAGACTGAACCCTGTGTTGTACGTATGAGTCACAGCCTCTCTGTCAAAGAAAGTTAAATAAATGTTTATTTCATTTTAAGAAAAGGAGAAAAAAAATGTTTTCAGGAGACTCACCTCCTCCGCATAGGATTTCCCGATTCCATCAGTGGCTCCCGTCACAACTGAACAAAGCAGACAAGGGAGGCGAAAGGTCAGCTACGGGGTTTTGGTACAAAGCGTTCACATTGCTTAATAGACTTTAAAAACAATGAGTCGTACTTAGGAGGCACCAAAAAAAAAAAATGTTGAGTTAAAAATAAAGGGAGCGTATGTAGCGCTCAATAATGTTTGAAGCAAGGTGTCATTTGAGTTCTTTGCAGTTTCGAAATAAGCTAAATAAATTTTGGGTGATGTTTCGGGGAATTCATAATATTCGAAAACATTTTACAATTTTAAATTAACATGTGCCCTCTTCTGTCCTTTCATACATTTCCAATATTTTTTGTATGAACTTTTGTCCTCATTTTATATCAGTTATTAATATTTTAGAATACATTTCACTCAATGAAATGTGTTGTAAACTAAATTGATTTAAATAAATAAATAAATAAATAAAACCGCAATAGCTGAACTCTGCGTAACCCAGCGGGATTCCACGATGTTAAGGAACATGGCCACCCGTGCTGCTTGACTGCAGCAGAGACAAAACGTGAACCTCATTTATGACCACACCCCGACCGACTTCTGGTTGGACCACTTGTTATGGTGAGTGAGCACTGAATAAGCTTCAATGTGATGTAGATTCCCTGTGACACAGCGGCAATGCTCGTAGATAAGACATGTCATCACAGGTAGATGGGGAGCAGGTTTTCAAAGCTTAGCGGGATCATTGTAGACAATACACGAGAGACAAAGGCCAAGGACAAGCGTTAAGTCAACGAAACCTGGGGAGAGGTTTCTCTCCTGCAACATTCCTGTACAGCGTATATTGTAGAAGCTCTCACAGTAAGCCTTGGCAGTATCTGAGATTATAAAAAAAGGGAAAACATTTTTAAAAAGTTTTACCTATCGCACCTCCTTAAAAAAAAAAAAAAGGAAAACATTTTTAAAACGTTTTACCTATCTCACATCCTTAGCCACACATTGAGAAGGTGTATATTCCTTGGCGAATGTTTTCACTCACACTGTTCTCCAAACAAGAGGCAAAAAGTGCTCGCTTGAAACTGTTTGTCACTCCCATTTGACATTTACTTTCAAACGAAAGCAAATTAAACCATGTAACACCAAAACGTTCACGCTGACCATCGAATTTCGTCTGACAAAAGTACCCTAGTTTCATGCTAACAACAATGTGACCTAAAATGCTATAAACAAGCTAACAAGCTAAATTAGCAGAACAAATATTCACCTTCCGGAAGCAAGCTTCCGAGCTAAATGTGCTAACATTAGCCAAGCAAACGGAAGATGCTGCTGAAGGGAAAAAAATATAGATAGATAGATAGATCGATATCTATCTAGCTAGCTAGATAGAGTTTATGAACCGTATACTGTCACACTGACACAGCGGAGATTAAATGGAAAAGTTTGGAGACGTGTTGCTGGGCAGAATTTGTGGGGCAAGATCATTTCTGACCGAAAAATGTACAGACAGGGACAGTATGACTAAAACCAAACCAAATGTAGCACAAAAGGCAAAATTAGATGCATTCCTTTTGCAATGGGAAGACTTTCCTCCGCAGCGCCATCTGCAAAAACTGGTGGGGCATTGACCTTAATGTTTAGACCTCAAAAATGTGCAGTTTAGATCAGTATCTGTACAACGTCTTGAGGTTAAAAAGGACCACCTGACCAATAAATCTCCAGACCACTTGCTGTCCAACAACAGCATCATTACTTCATTAGTTATATTTCATATATATATTATTTATATATCCATTAATTTACTATACATTACCATTTTCTCTGCTTCTATGTACCATCTCTGAGTCCACTTCTACTGTATCTCATTCACTGATTCAGAGTGATCAATAGTCACCATCGTCTGACACCATTTTGCATACTGCAATTGATTGCCCATTCAATCAAATCATATCTAAAAAACACAAAGCTTTTTGAGTGGAAATATGTGGGCATTTTATTTCTTGAAACCACGACTGCGCACGGTATGATAAAAAAATGACTTTAGCCATGTCGCTTGTTGCGACTTCTAATGATTTTGAATGACATTGACTGGAAGAATTAAACCATTTCCTACAGA